ATGCACATACCTTCTCCACTCAAACACTAGTCCAGGCATTGCCGAGGGAGTTTTGATTTTGTGGGTATAATTATGGTCCCAAATCAGTTGATCTGAAAAAGGCAGTTATCCTGGTGGCTCTGGCATAATTAGGTGAGCCTTTTAAAGGAAACGGCCTCTTCCCAGCGAAGAGATTTTTTGCAGGGAGGGATTCATCCCGAGGAAGGGTTTGCAAGGCAGACTTTGAAGGTGGAGGGGCCACGTGGTAAGGGGCGCAGGTGGCCCGGGGGAGCTGAAGGCAGTCCCCGCTCACGGCCGGCAGGGAAACGGGACCTCAGTCCTCCAGCCACAAGGGAACAAGCTGAGTGAGCCCGAAGGAGGATCCCAGCTGCCAGCTTGAGAACACAGCCGGCTGACACACTGATTGCGGCCTTGTGACACCAGGAGCAGAAAACTCCCCCGTGCCACGCCCGCACTTCCGATCCACAGAAGTGCGAGCTAATGAATGGATATCGTTTAAGCCACTAAGCCGGGGGGAATTGTAATACCACAAAAACAGATCCAGGATTTCTTCAGCTAGGTTGTGGGACCTTCTGGATCATTTCCTCCTCCTTAACACGTTTGACCCCTTTACCTCTCTCTTATTCTCCTTCTCTGACCCTCCCTTTCTGTGTTTCTCTGGGAGCCCCTTGCCCGTGGCCGCCTCCCCCCCACCCCAAATGCTGGGGATCCCCAGCTCCGCCACTCTTGGGATTTCATTGCACCTGTGCACTCTGGACTCTTACCCGTGTGTCCTCATCCTTGACCTTCTCCGACGCATGTCTCCGATGCCCTGTCTGGGGCTGCTGCTTGCACCCCAGACTCCGCCTGGTCACATGCTGGGCTAGTCCCCACCTCCTCCCGCTGCCGCCACGTTCGTTACCTTTTCACGTCCTATCTCCAAATTTTAGAACGCGTTCCTCGCGTCACTGCCTGGATCTGACCTCTCCATAGAGCGGGAACGGTGTCGAGGGCCCGCAACACTTCCAGGCAAAATGTGAAAATGTTTGTTTCCCTTCGATCGGAAGGGGAGAAAACAAGCTTTGAAGTTGAAGAACGTGCTTTAATACATCATATTAAGGTATTCGCCTGCCTTGACGCCCATGCAGTTGTAAAATGTGGTTTTAAATATTGGCGTGTGGAGGAAGAGAGGCCCATGGAAGCAGAAGGGCCCACGAAAGTCACAACACGGTCCTGGCGTCACCTTATTTCTAGAGAAGCAGGTGTTTGCACATCGCCCTATAAGCAGGGAGGATGCTTTTTCAGGTGGTCCCGGTGGATAGATGTCTTCCGGCTTTGGTGACTGGGAAGGGTTGCACATCACCAGTGATTTGGGGCCACTGCCGTGGCCTCCTCTGCCGTGGCAGGGGGTCGTTTGAGCTCGGAAGTCCCTCCCTTGCCTTCAGCTACTTGCCCCGTGCTCTGGGACTTCCCTCGCGACGAGCAGACGAGCCCAGTTTCTGGAGCACGGGTGAGGGATTCTCTCGCACCCTGGATCCAGCAGGATCCTCTGGCGGGTCCGTGCAACCCCCGCGTGGCACCCCACACCCGTCCCCGAGGTCACCCGTGCTTCCAGAGAGTCAAAGAGGGAGGGAGGTTAGCCAGGCACCCGGACAGTCCGCCTTCCAAGGGACCTACCGCAGTGCTGTAGCGATTACATGAGGCTTCGGCTCACCCAGTGCCGCATCTGGGAAAGCTCCCGGCAGGAAACTGTTAGCAAGATGTGATCCTCTCTAGGTTACGATGAGATCCAGGAGAGAAGCAGGATTCTCTGAACCCTTTGCTGTCGGGATTCAAGCAGGGCAGTGTTTTTACTTATTTATTTATTTTTATATTTCATTTATTTATTTAGAGACAGTGGGGGGGGGCAGAGAGAGCGAGGGGGAGACAGAAAGAATGCCAAGCAGGTCCCACGCTGTTCAGCGCAGAGCCCGACGCAGGGCTCGAACTCACAAACCGCAAGATCGTGACCTGAGCCGAAGTCGAGAGAGGGACACTTAACCGACAGAGCCACCCCGGCGACCCTGGGGGCAGCGCTGCTCTGATGTAGGAGTCAGACCGGCTCCAGCCAGGCTTTCGTCCTGTGACGGATGATGGGCTGCGTGTTCATCAGGACGGGCCGTGGTCTCCTGTGCAGCTTTGTTGGGGCGTCTGAGGTTGGCGTGTGTGAGATAGGACACAGACGCACACAGAGGGACGACTGTGTGAACACGCAGGGAGAAGACGGCCATCGACGAGCCAAACGGAGAGGCCTCGGGAGAAACCAGCCCTGCTCGCTCCTTGACCTCAGACTTGCAGCGTGCAGGACTGTGAGGAAATACACTTCTGTTTAAGCCGCCAGGTCTGGGTTAGCAGACGAACCCGCCAACCCCTCACACCTCTCACTAGCCTTGTAAAGAGTGGCATCAGAAGAAGCGGGTATGATTTGACCAAAGGAGATAAGACGGTCGCACCCACGTTATGACGAAGCCAAGATCCCATTGACTTGGCCGGTCATGGCATCCAGTGACCGTCTCCAAAGGCGTTAGTGTTCGTTTTCTCAAACTATCCTTGCCAAGTCACGTTGCTTGCATCCTTTGCTAGAATGCTGTTGTTTTTTGAACTTGGTTGTGGGATTTTACATTTAGTCCTGCTGTGGCCGCCCCCATCCCTCGGGGGGAGGGGCCTTTGGAAACCACGTGGGGTGTCACGGTGGGCCTGAGGGGTTCCAGTGACACATTTCCGATTTCCTGGTGAGAAAGCTGGATTTGGGTGGAGGACTTACTTTTGGATGACACTTGGGACAAAGCTAACTGTCCCTACGGTGGATTTCAGGGCACACGGTGCCCAGCGTGGGTATGATGGGATTTCAGGCAGGATATCTGGGAGAGGCAGGTCTGAATCCGAGCCTCAGGTGGAGAAGTCCACGGTAGTGGGGATTTGCTGACGGAGAGAAGACAGGTTCTGAGAAGACGTCCTAGCTCTGCCAGAAACACATGTGACATGTGACAGAGATGGAGATTGGCTTCTCTGTCCCTGTATTTTCCTGTCTATCAAAAGAGACTCCTTCTGGGCATTGAGGTGGAAAAGGCATAGAGGCCCCCAAACGAAATGTCAGCGTTGTGCCAAGTTATCGACGAAGACGTTCTGTATCATCAAGGTGTCAGTCACCTGCCAGGCTGCACAAGAAAGTAGGGTCCTCCCTGAGGACCTAGGATCTAGGGTGAGCTTTTGGGACAGGATTAGCCCTCGGAAAATGAGCTGCTTTTAAAATTAGACTTACCCGGGGGCACCCGCGTGGCTCAGTCGGTTAAGCATCCGACTTCGGCCCAGGTCACGATCTCATGGTTCGTGAGTTCGAGCCCCGCATCAGGCTCTGTGCTGACAGCTCGGAGCCTGGAGCCTGCTTCGGATTCTGTGTCTCCCTGTCTTTCTCTGCACCTCCCCAGCTCAGGCTCACACTGTCTCTGTCAAAAATAAATAAACTTAAAAAAATTTTTTTTTTTAGTTAGACTTACCCGGGGCACCTGGGTGGCTCAGTCGGTTAGGCCTCCGACTCCTGGTTTCAGCTCAGGTCATGATCTCGTGGTTTGTGAGTTCAAACCCCGCGTCGGGCTCTGTGCTGGCAGCATGGAGCCTGCTTGGGATTCTCTCTCCCCCTCCCTCTCTGCCCCTCTCCTGCTCTCTCTGTCTCACTCCCTCTCAGAATAAATAAATAAGCTTTAAGATAAATAAAATTTGACTATATTCACTTTTTCTTTTAATTTTTTTTTTTTATTCTTTATTTTTGAGAGAGAGAGAGAGACAGTGAGACAGAGTGTGAGTGGGGGAGGAACAGAGAGAGAGGGAGGCACAGAATTCGAAGCGAGATCCAGGCTCTGAGCTGTCAGCACAGAACCTGACACGGGGCTTGAACTCACGAACCGCAAGATCATGACGTGAGCCGCAGTCGGACGCTTAACTGACTGAGGCCCCCAGGCGCCCCTATATTCACTTGTTCTTCATCTGCCTCTGGAACATCAGGCACTGTATTTTGCAAGTGGTTCTCTGGCCAAAGACAGGTATTGTGGACGCGCCCAGGTCCTCCCTGGGGCCATGTTGGTTTTGCAGTGCAGAGTATCATCGGCTGTCCTCATGGGCAAGCCTGCACTCCGCAGTTCGGTGCACTATTCGCTTGTGAAATGCTGCCAGTAAAGGCACCTAGAACATTCCCCAAGACGATCTTTTCTCCCTTACGGAAAGCAGTAGCTAATACCCATGTGATAGATTCTTCATGACTCGGTCAGTCATTGGGAGAACGATACTTTTTCTTGCATCTATTCCCATTCCCTGCGATGACCCCCTTGGGGATGTCCATGGAAGATGTTCATGGCACAAAGAGTTGAAGAATTGCTTGCTAATTCCGGCCCATCCTCTTTGCTGGTCCTGGCAGCTCAGGTGAGTTTTTAATCCCCGATCCTGTCTCCTCCTCTGCCATGGGAGGTGAACACTACGTCTTCTGCCTGCGCCGTGGCTTCTGGAAGGAATAAGGAATAATTGCAGATGCACTTTGCGAATTAGAAAGCCGTATTCAAATGGAAAGGTCACAGATAAGTTTATCCCTTACAGGGGAGGTGGCCTTTACCTTGTATTTACTGTAAACTCAAGTCCCTCCCGTGCTTCCGGACTGGGGGATGTTTGCATTGACCTCAGCTCCCAAATCCATCACGTGTGAGGTTTGTCCCTTTTCTTCTCCTCCCTTGACATTTGCAAACCGAAAAGTCTGGGCTGAGCCACCAGCTAGCTGCCTAGGTTACAGGGTGGCCTTGGGAGTGACTTGGGGCCTCTGCAGGCTGAGGAGGTGATGACGGTGTCATAGGGACCGTGGAACCAGTGGCTCAGGGAAGAGGTGGCCTTCCCACTCATTTCTGGCCCGGCGACGGCCACCTGTGCCTCCCCGAAGCTTTGGGTCCCAGGCCTGACCCTGCCGGGAGCTCTCTGACTCCTGTGTGTGTCTGTTCAAGATTTACGTCCACCTGAAGGAAGGCGGGGGCCCCGATGGGCTGGATGCGCTGAAGAATAAGCCCCAGCTCCACAGCATGGTCGCCCGAAGCCTGTGCCGGAACGCGGCGGGCAAGAACTACATCATCTTCACGGGGCCCAGCATCACCAGCCTGACCCTGTTCGAGGAGCTGGAAAAGCAAGGTTTGTCATGTGGCGGGCCCGTCCGAGAGGGGCCCCTCGCCCCTGAGGAGTGATGGGAGAAGTCTGGGGGTACAGGTGCATAGCAACCGGCACAGCCCATGGGCTGCTGGGCCAGGAGGGAACACGCTGGTTTCAGCCCGCCGTGTGCCTGCCACAGGGCTGGACCCTGCCAGGCGCTGGTGATCAGCAGGGATACGGCCACAGGCTTGCGGTCTGGGCGGGGGTGTGTCGGCACAAAGCTCTGCCCAAGTCACATTTGGTTGTGTCGTTTGTTGGGAGACCGTGGCCATTGAGGGGTTCTCCTAGTGTCCTAGTCCATTCGGGCTGCTCTGTCAAATTACCACAGACGGCAGCTTATAAACAGCACACATTTATTCCTTGTAGGCCTGGAGGCTGGAAGTTCAAGATCAGGGCACCAGCGTGGTTGGGTGCAGCTCTCTTTCAGGTTGCCGATCTCACGTGACCGAAAGGATAAGGGAGTTCTCTGGGGTCCCTTTCCTTTTCTTCCTTTTCTTCTCTTTTCTTTTCTTTTTTTTTTTTTAAATGTTTATTTATTCTTGAGAGAGAGGGAGACAGAGCGTGAGTGGGGGGTGAGGGGGCAGAGAGAGAGAGGGAGACACAGGCTCCAAAGCAGGCTCCAGGGTCTAAGCTGTCAGCACAGAGCCTGACGCAGAGTTTGAACTCACGAACCGTGAGATCATGACCTGAGCCGAAGTTGGATGCTTAACTGACTGAGTCACCCAGGCGCCCCTGGGGTCCCTTTTCTTAAGGGCACTGCTCCCATTCATGAGGGCTGCACCCTCATGACTCAGGCACCTCCCAGAAGCCCCACCTCTTAACACCATCACCTTGGGCATTAGGCTTTCAGCAGAGGAATTTGGGGGGAATGCACACATTTGATCTGTAGCACCTAGTCCCAGCTCCTACAAAGGCTCTTAAGTCTGGACTCATCCCCATCTATAATGTGGCCCCTCCACTTGGCGCAGATGTCACAGAGAATTATGTAGAATTAACACAGCAGGACAGTAGGCCTCAGAAAATTCTTAGTGCGCTATGGTGCTGGGATGCTTCGTTCATCTGTTCAAAGGTTAGGAAGCCTTCTGTGGCTCCGGCAGAAATGGGGACTGCAGAAAGAGGTCTGGACCAAGTCAGGGAGCCTGACAGCAAGCTGTATATCCTTTGCTTTGTCCTACATTTGGGGGATTTATATCTCATCCACTCAAGAGAAACATAAAAAGCCTCTCCTCTGCTATGGCAGCCACTGAAATCGCAGACCGATTGCTTAGCAACAGATCAGACATCCGGTCTTAAAACAAAACCCTCTCAAGTAATGGAGAGCCAACAGCATCTGACCTTGACCTCAGCCACTGCGGCAAGGAAGCAGCCCTAGACTGGGTGCTCTGCTGGCCCTGGCTGCGTCTGACTCATCTGCAAAGTCCAGTGCCCAACAGGGCTCCGTGCTTAATGGCTGGGAGAAGTCAGGGTGGAGAGATCCGACCACGCGAAGAGGGGCCGTGGAAGTAAGATTGGAGAAAATGGACCCTGGTGCGCGCTAACCGAACCCCTCGGAAGAACGAGGGGTTCCTGTGTTAGAGCAGGTGGCGAGAGCCGAGGCTGCCATCCCCACTCGCCCACTCGTTCAAGTCCGACTGTGGGTGCAGGGCCGTGAGCCCTGGGGTTCCTAGAACCGCCCAGATAGCATTTGCGTGCTGTTGGGGCCACCCGGCATCACACGGTATATGCTCCCGTCACCTAGACCAAGAGTCAGGTGGTGCAGTCAGGTGGCATGTTGTCCCGGTGGGGCTGGTGTGCAGAGTGCGGGTGCCCAAGGACTGTCACGGGCCATCAGTGCTGCTGCCCTGACAGCTGGCCATGCTGGCCTGTGATTCTGGGAAGAAAAGGACGCTCCCCAGCTCAGGGAATTAGGGAAAGGACGGAAGAGAATCTTCTACTGGGAAGAAAATAATTACACATGGGATTTAGCTTTTCCCGAGAACGAGCAAAGATTTCATTGCCTGTTTTTTGGAAGCTTCTGGAGCTCCTGTGCACTTCTTGCGTGGCTCCACTGTGATGATGAGACGCTGGGCTGGTGGTTCTCCATTGTCCCCACACTGGTGGCTGCGTGCCCTCCCCTCCCCCAGGCTGCCCTGGGCTGGGCTGGTGCCCTCCAGGACATTCTCACGGGCAGCAAGGATTGAAGAAGGGCATCGTAGCTGTGAGTCTGGCCGTCCCTCCGTGGACAGAGTCTGCTTTGTAAAACAGCCGGAAGAAGACACTGATATAATAAACGCTATTTTCATAAAGGGGCAGATTCAGGAGACTTGGATGCTGTTTGGGTTTTCTCCTTCCCCTCTTACAAAATTGCACCTGCTGTTTTTGGCTGCTTGTGTGCACGGAGCCTCGGATGGAGAATTTAAAACATCCTTTCTCCTTGTTCATCTAAGGCTCCCCACTGTTTTAAAAACAGTTCCTTCTTCTTAAATATTAAGACGAAGGGTAGCTGGAGTTGGAGCTACAGAGGTGCGAGCGGCCAGCAGCCCTCTGCTTCAGAGCAGTAAGGCTCCATCATGCCACCCAGTGGCTCTTCCAGTGCACCCACTGGTGCTCATTAGGCAGTGGGACCCAGGTAGTTCCTCCCGTTCCCCTCCGCCCCCCGCGCCCAGGGCGGGCCGGAGATGTGCGCACACAAGGTCATAGAATGTTTCGAGTTACTGATGATACTGCGTCCGCCTTCAGGGAACTTCAGTCTGTGATGGGAGACCCCGGATGAGACTTTCCCCAGCGACTTCCGTCAAAAGTGCCTCTTCACGTCCCCTCCAGGCATCCAGACTGAGGATGCTGGCTGCAGGGAGAAGCCGTGGCTCTCCGTGGCCACCTGGCCCGCTCACTGGGGCAGGCCAGAGGGTGGGGAGGGCCAGGAAGGGCCTTTTAGCAAAGCCTCCTTGTCCACGTTGACCTCTGTTCACAATCCCTCCTGCCTCCGTGGGACCGTCTGTGCATTAGTGGCCACCCAGTAGCTGCTCCTCGCTCAGAGTGCAGAAGTTTCTAGAAGCAGATGAGCAGATGGGAGGACAGGTGCACATGCTCAGCCCTGAGCCTGGCACATAGCCAGCGCTCTGAAGAGACTCGCTGATTCACTGCGATGGTCTCATGTAAAATCTTAAATGCTTATTTTTTTATTTTTTGAGGGAGGGGGAGGCATAGAGAGAGGACGGGACAGAGGATCTGAAGCAGGCTCCAGGCTCTGAGCTGTCAGCATGGAGCCCAGTGCAGGGCTCGAACTCATGAACCACGAGATCATGACCTGAGCCAAAGTCAGACGGTTAACCAATGGAGCCACCCAGGCACCCGGTCTCACATGTAATCTTGAACGTTCTTATAGAAGTACTGGGACAGAGCACCTCTGGGATAGAAGTCCCCAGACTTCAGGGGTCTCCCCTGCAGGGACGTCTAGAGGGCCCCTCCCCCAAGCATCAGCCCCAGAACAGGGCAGGCCCGTCCTTTCCACCAGCGTGCGTGGGGCCTCCCTGACCGTGTGGACGCGGTTTTGTGTCCGTCTCCCCCGCAGAGATCTACTGCTGTGGCCTGCTCAGCCCCAGGAAGAGTGACTGCACCGGCCTGCCCCCGTCCATGCTGAGCAACCCGGCCACCCCCCCGGCCCGGGGCCAGCACCGCATCAAGATGAAGGGGAACATGTCTCTGATCTGCTGGTACAACAAAGGGCCCTTCCGCTTCCTGACCAATGCCTACTCGCCCGTGCAGCAAGGTGGGCCCGCGGGGGTGGGGGGTGGGGGGGAGGGGGGTTTGTGCAGCTCAGGTGTCAGGTGACCCCATCACTGTGAGCTTCTGGGCCGGGGACTCGGCGCCACTGCACCTGACTGGTGGTGGGGGGGGGGGCGACACCAGCTCCCCGTTGCTTGTCGGCGGCCGAGAGAAGCAGGAAGGGACCAGGGTGGGGTCCGCAGGCCGCCAGGGTTGTCTGTGGTCGCTCTGAGTGCTGTACGTGGCCAGCACTCACGTGGTCACCTCGGCATCGAGGATCTGTTCTGACGGGAGGAGAAAACATCAGCTGTTTTTTTATTGGTTCGGCGTCTTCCTCCGAGATGAACCACTAGGATTTGGGGGTGGTCAGGTGATTCTGTCATCGATTTTCCTCAGGGTCTAAAATCCATAAGGCGTCTGCAGTTAAAGTAACTACAGCCCCCACCTCTTTAAGCCACTGACAGGGGAACTCAGATGACAGAGGGCGCCTCACCGAAATTGTCCCGTCACGTCGTGTACTTGCAAATCCCCTATAATTGTCTGTATCAAGACATGTTTCCCCTTTCCTGCTGCAGGAACGCTGCGGGGCGCTCGGTTGTGTTGGAGGGGTGTCTGTGTGTGTGATTGGTGTGCACGTGTGGTGTATGTGAATGTGTGTCTCGTGTGTGTGTGTGTGTGTGTGCTTAATTAATGTCTGTTCGTTTATTCCCACCCCTCACCCCGCACACACACCTAGGCTCTGTTACATTTCAGTGGAGATGACAGTCTAGGGACCCAAACCCACGGGACTCGGGGTTAAGGAGGTGTGGAACGCCGCCCGTCACTGTATCACTGTGTCAAGGGCACTCGGGGGAGATGTTTAAATTGACCTTGCAAGCCAAAGGGCGAGTTTGAATTGGACTTCCACACTCTGGTGATTGGATAAGGGCTCTCACAGGGAGAATGTTCGAGAATAGGGCGTAGGAGCCACCTCCCCCCAAATTATGCGTGACAAGTTGCAAAGTTTGCGATAGGATTTAAGAGGACAGGGCCTTAAAAACCCCAATCTCAAAGGTTGGGAGGCTTAAATCCATTGTCAAGGGAACCAGCAAGGAGGATATTTGATGGGGAAGAAGAGAAAATTGGTAGGGTTGATTTTTAAGTATGCTAAAACTTACTGTTTGTGTTTCCTTCAGTTATAGTTTACGTTTCTTTTTTTTTTTTAATTTTTTTTTAACGTTTATTATTTTTGGGACAGAGAGAGACAGAGCATGAACGGGGGAGGGGCAGAGAGAGAGGGAGACACAGAATCGGAAACAGGCTCCAGGCTCCGAGCCATCAGCCCAGAGCCTGACGCGGGGCTCGAACTCACGGAGCGCAAGATCGTGACCTGGCTGAAGTCGGACGCTTAACCGACTGCGCCACCCAGGCGCCCCATAGTTTCTGTTTCTAAAGTACTCGGTTATAAATCACAAAGTCCCCGTTCTGAGACACCCTTAAAAAGCCCAGGTCGTATGCCTTTGGCGTGGCCCCGGCCCCTCCCCCAGCGCCTCTGGAAGCTTCCCAGGGTGGATGGCATGGGCACCTGTGAGCCAGGCCCGCCCTGGAGCAGACAGAGCCCCACGGGTGAGCTCCCAGCCTGGGTGCCACAGGCAGGAAGCGCCAGGGGGCAGGGAGGAGGCGTGGAGAGTGGCAGCTGGGTGGCCACAGGAAATCTTTTTATTAGTTCACATCTTAGAGTATTTGTTTTTGTGTTTGTTTATTTAGAAGAGAAGGAGGACACAAGCGGGGAAGGGGCAGAGGGGCAGAGAGAGAGAGAGAGAGAGACAGAGCGCGAGCAGGGGAGGAGCAGAGAGAGCGAGAGAGGGAGACACAGAATCCGAAACAGGCTCCAGGCTCTGAGCGGTCAGCACAGAGCCCGACGTGGGGCTCGAACTTGTGAACCACAAAATCATGACCTGAGCCGAAGTCGGACGCTCAACCGACTGGGCTACCCAGGCACCCCCTCTGCTCCCTGTTTTATGTCAGGATAGCCAGGCAGGGTGGGGAGACGCACATTTGTCCGACGGGGGGGTTTATCGTCTCTGTTCTCCGCAGGAGTGATCATCAAGAGGAAGACTGGGGAGATCCCCTGCCCCTTGGCCGTGGAGGCGTTCGCTGCTCACCTTAGCTACATCTGCAAATACGACGACAAGTACAGCAAGTAAGTGGAGGCAGCCGCGGGGCTCACCGGCACGGCATGGAGATTGGTGGGTGGTCAGCAGTGCCCCGGTGTCCGAGTGGACACATGTAGCCCCTGTGAGACAAAATCCTGAGCCCCTTCCTGGTCTTCCAGGCTCACCCGCACAGCCCCCTCACTTCTGGGCGCCCTGCCTCCTTCCCTGTCACCCTTGCCCCTGGGTGCCCTTCCCTCTGCTCACCCGGGGCTTGCCATCTCTCAGCACTCAGCGCAGAGCCTGCTCCCTCTGTCCCCTGCCCCGACCGCTCTCCTCCCCCACCCCGGCACCCACGGACCACGCAGCATCAGCCCCCCGGTGTCCACACGCTGGGTGCCGTGTTCTCCAGCCCAGGTTACTGAGCTGTTTCACCTCTGGGCACCTGCTCCGGGGGTGGCCTCGTCTGAAGCACACGCGTAGCATAGACAGGATGCGTCACCCACGGCGCGGTGACAGGAGCTCGGGAGTGATGGCTGGTGAACCTGAGCGGGACTCTGAAATTGGTAGGGTTGAGCCTCCCAGCCTAGAACGAGGCTGGAGGAACCCCCAAAAGGCAGGTGGGCGCTTACTCCGCCCACTTGGAGGGTAACTTGCTGGGCTTCTCCGTGGCAGAGAAAACCGAGGACCCGGTTCCCCCTGGAAAACTCAGCCCAGGTTCGAAAGGCAGCCCCATGCCACCGGGAGTCATTGAACAAATGTTTACCGCGTGCTCTGCTCAGCACCTGCTGAGTCCGTGAGGTTATTACAGAGAAATCTGCATTTGTATCGCAGACGCGTTGGGTCCCCTCTGCGCCGGCCGTGGCGGGGATGCTGACCCTCAGGCACGTCTGGGGGGGGCGGGGCAGAGACAAACGTGCAGATGGGAGGACACGGCGTGGGCCTGAGTCGTAAGCCGGCTCTTGGCCCTGGAGGGACACCATCCTCCGTCTTGGGGCAGAGGCCTCCCTGACGTGACATCCGTCCTGGATCCGAAGGGAAGGCGGGGGTGGCCAGGAGACGTGCCCTCGGGAGAAAGGGGACGTATCGCAGGGGCCTGCAGCTGAGGGTGTACTTGACCTTGGGGAACGGAAGCAGTTCAGGATGCACGGGACGCGGCAGCTGAGAGGGTCCCTTAGCAAAGAGGGAAGCCCCCCAGGCCCTTTCCCTTGGAGCTTCTGAGCCATCGGAGGCCAGGCTCCCGGGTTCGGCATCTCTTCTGGTGGCTTCCTCCCGCCGCACCTAATCCTCTGCTAGGAATCGTCTTCATCTTCTTTGTCTTAAGTGAAGCTGACCGTGACTAAGCTGCAGTGAGAGCTGACCCCCCCCCCCGGCCTGGTTCCTACCCCCGCAGCCCACCTGCGGCAGCCCTGACCGTGATGGGGCCTTTTGGGGAACATCTCCCCGGACCCGGGCGCCCACGAACCATCCGACTGAGCCTTTCTTACTCCTCCGCCCCCGCAGGTATTTCATTTCTCATAAACCAAACAAGACCTGGCAACAGGTGTTCTGGTTCGCCATCAGCATCGCGATCAATAACGCCTACATCCTGTACAAGATGTCAGACGCCTACCACGTGAAGAGGTACAGCCGGGCGCAGTTCGGCGAGAGACTGGTGAGGGAGCTGCTGGGTCTGGAGGAAGCCTCCCCAGCCCACTGATGCCAGGCGGCCAGGCCTAAGTGAGGACCAGGTCCGGGAGGCCGGAGGAGGGAGGGAGCGGGCCATTCTGACCTGCCCAGCCAGAGCCCTGCGGGTGCCCCCCCGCACCCCCCTCCCCGGGGGTGGCCCCAGCCCGGAGGGGTGCCCACGGCTTCCACGGGGACCAGGGTGGGCCTGGTCAGAGGACGGCTGCCCGTCCCGGTTCCCATTCGAAGAAGAGCATGTCCTCCCTCCAGAAGCGGCCACCCACCCGGTGCCGGGGCGGGCGCCGCACCCAGACTCCACGTGCCGGCGGGCGCGCTGTCCGTGGCATTGGCCCAGCAGGGCGCTGCCTCCTCGTGACACCCGTGGAGCTCAGCTCGGTACAGGGGCCCTGGGAAGGCTGTTGCCGCCGGAGGCGCCAGGGATGGGATGAGCCGTAGCACGTCCTGCTAGAAATGCCTGCTCTGTAAAGACGTAAAGATGTTTGTGGCGCGGTTCAGTTTCCTGCCGTGTCCGACGGCGACCAAGGCAAGCAGAGGTGGGGCTGTGCACCGCTAAGGCCGTGTCGGTGTGGGCAGGAGACCCGAGCGTCGTCCCGCACCTGCCTCACGCAGGCGGCTTGGAACGGGCCTCCTGGAACAAGGAATGCAAACTGGGTGCCATTGACACGCAGGGATGAAATGGGGCAGCGATTGCCCGTTCCGAGTCAAGGATGAGGCGTTCCTAACTCATTTCATCTCCCTGGCTGGTGGACGGGGGAGAGAGGGAAAATGCCAACGGAATCGCAGTGACGTGTGATGCTGTTTTTTATTTTTCAATATATCTTCAGGTTATTTTCTTACCGTTGCTTAAAATCTTCTGTAAAAGGAAAATGTCCCCCTTCTTTTCCGCCCCCTCCCTTCGCCCCAGCCGTGGCTGTTTGCGTGGTCACAGTTCGGTATTCTGGGCCCCGTGACTGTGCCAGGACCGGAAAGGGCAGCTTGCTCCCAGAACGGACGTGCTTCCACTCCATCAAGGAGCACGGGGGGCCCTGTGGGCCTTAAGCGTTGCCGTAGACCTGATCGTCGGCAGAATTACTTGTTTGGGAAAACACGAGGCGTTGCTGCAACACACGCCAACACGTCTGGGGGTGACACTGGCCAGTTCTCGCGCCCTGCGTGTGGTCACCTGGCTGGGTGTGCCCTCTGACTCCATTGCCCCAGAGCCCTGCGGCTGGCACGGGCAAACCCAGGAAGGTGACCGGGTGACCAGCTTTGTTGGGGGTGATCTCCCCGTAGGACCGCGAGAAGTACATGCCAAGGCCGCTGGCATCTGGGGCTCCTGCTCCCAGGTCTGCGTGTCTCCGGGGGAGACCTGGGCCAGGGTGATCCCCTGGCCTGACCGTCCCCCGCAGACACGAAACGAGCGATTCCTGGAGTTACACGATCCCCCTCCGGCCTGGTTTACGTAGCCCCCTCATTTTTTTTTCTTTTTTTTACCAAATGCAAAATCTATTCTACTCAGGCTTTGGGATGTTTTTCCTTGTTCACACTCAGTTAATTAAACGTGTTGCTGGCCGCATGCTCCTGAACTCCACGCCATTCCTGCAGCCTGCGTTCGTGATGATCCCCCTCGCCCTGTGGTTTGAATTCGACGCCACGGATTGTAGGCCAAATTTTAAATTGTGTTTCCAAACACCTTCGCCGTGTCCTTTAATTGGATTGAAAGCACTTTTACCACATGGAGAAATATATTTTTAATTTGTGATGCTTTTCTACAAGGTCCACTATTTCTGAGTTTAATGTGTTTCCAACACTTAGGGAGACTCTAATGAAAGCTGATGAAGTTTCTTTTCTGTCCAAATAAGTAAAAGAAAAAATAAAAGTCTATTTAGATGCTGATCCTTTGCGAATATGCGAGTTTGTTTAAATGGTCAGGGACAAGGAGCGCCTGGCTGGCTTCGTGGGTAGAGCACGCGGCTCTTGATCGTGGGGTCGTGAGTTCGAGCCCCACGCTGGGTGTCGCGTATGCTTACTAAAAAAAAAATAAAAGATCAGGGACAAAACCACGGGCTACTCTTTTAAGACTTCTTGGTGTGTGAGCTAGTGTGCATGATCTTAAACTGTTTTTAGTATCCTACGCCCCTGAGCAGTTTAAAAAAGAAATTCAGTTAAGTCTTGACTTAGAGAAATAGATATCGATACCCTGGTCCTGTGAGTCAAGCTGTATCTTGGGTGCCTGTGCCATTGAAGAAAACTCCCACCTGCCTTCCAGATGGGGGATGCCTCCTCCCTTCTCCCGGTTTCTGTGGTCGTCCGCATTGACCCAGAGAGACGCTCTTGCGACAGGCCGGTGGGTGGCTTTGCGTTACCGAGTAATTAGAGGGGACTTAACACCAGTTTAGCGCTCTCCTTTTTAAACGGTAACCACCTGTTTTCAGATACGTGCTTGAAGCAGACGGCAGTTCCGCCGGGGGTCTCTTGGAGCCCCTGCAACGCTGGGACGAGTTTCTGTTCTTCCGGAAGGAGGACAGAGGGACCTAGAGTACTGATTAGGAAAGCCTGTAGGACCTCGTCCTACAGATGTGAGTCTGAGCACCTTGGAGAATTGCTCCAGTTCAAATCCACCTGGCTCCAGTATTTCCAAGGGTTGGAGAGACTGGTTGCCCCTGGATTGGCTCAGTTAGTAGCTGGCCACTGCTGGGGTCTGGGGAGGGCCCAATAAGTGCTTCTCACCACGGCGGGGGGGGGGGGGCCCCCGGCCAGCAGGTGGCATCCCGAGGCCAGCCACCGCTGTGGGATGTCTTTGCTACAGGGTCTGAAAAAGAAAATCAGAACAAGGAGCATCCCGACCCTTATGGAGAATAAAACAACAAATACCTAGAAGCTTCTCCAGAGCAAAGCTCTGTTAGGCCAAATGCACTGAGCTTCACGTGGTTTGGGCCGCAGTCCCAGGGCTGCGGCTATAGTTAGAATCGGGTAAGGTAATCCTTCAGGGAACTGAACGTGGGTGAGTTTCTGTTTGTATTTGCTGCCTTCCTTCCTTGTTTCTCTGTTTCATTCACATTGTCTCTTGTCCCCACACTCTGCTTCCTAAAAAGCCTCAAGTTTGAACAAGGTCTGACTGTAGTCAATGGAACATTATAATACTAAGGTCGTATTTCAAAACTCAAGTGGGTTATTGGGGTGGCTCAGTCGGTTAAGCATCCGACTCCTGGTTTTGCCTCGGGTCGTGATCTCACGGTTTGTGGGTTCAAGCCCCATGTTGGGCTCCACGCTGACAGCACATAGCCTGTTTGGGATTTTCTCTTTCTCTCTCTCTCTCTCTCTCTCTCTCTCTCTCTCCTTCTGGCCTGCCCCCACTTAGTCTCTGTTGGTCTCTCAAAATAAATTAAAAAAAAAAAAAAAACAACCTCAAATGAGTTACATAGGAAAACTTTGGTGTCTGGATCATTCTGGACAAGGACATTCAGTTTATTGACTCCATTAGACAAGGCCCGGCCACCAGAATCGAATGAACCCTACAGCTGTGCCAGAGAAGAAGTTCGCAGTCGCCAGGAGCCTGGAAGGCTCTGGCTCATCGTGTGTGGCCGTCCACCGCCGTTGTCCTGGGTTCTGGGTTCCTCAGGGAACCCAGCCTCAGCACCAGGCAGTGAGGGAGGCAGGCAGACCCACCCATGCCCCCTCTGAAATGTGGGGCACTTGACCCCGGTGGGCACCAGATGCACCTGGCTTGGCAGATTCTAGAAAAGACAGAATCGCATCCTCCGAAGAGGCTGAAGCCAGACCATATCTGACCAAAAATTGCCTATTTGCCATGCAGCCAATTATGCGTAAGCTTCTCTGCAAAACACTGGCCCTGAGAGCCAATTCGACCTCAGTGTTTCTGGAATGTGCTGCACCACACGTGAGCAGCTAGTCAAAAAGGGGTCCTACAAGAAGTCCTAGCCAAGCGAAAAGAAAGTTTCTCATCTCCTAAGTACCAATCTGCAGCTACAAAATTGTTATTCCTTTCATCCCCCCTGTGGCTTATACTTGGTTCTAATTTTCTCCAAGGAAATAGGATACTGACCTCTTTCTCCAACCTGACAGCTGGTGTGAGGGTTTGCTTGCCCCCAGTTAACTTCTAATGTCCCACACTCCTCCACTCGGAAAGAGCCACAACTTTAGCAAAAGCAGCGCTAGAAAAAAAACATTCACTGGGAAGATGAGATTTTAGCTACTTTAATTAGCTTTTTCACTAGCCCTGGCCGTCTTTTTAAAAAAGGGTCTATTCCTCAAAAAATTAAAAATAATACTACCAGGTGTGCCTGGCTGGTTCAAACAGTAGAGCATGTGACTCTTGATCTCAGGGTCATGAGTTCAAGCCCCGCCTTGGGCCTAGAGATTAGTTAAAAAAAAAAAACAACAAAAAAAAGAATTACCAGATGATCTAGCAATCCTTTTTTAAATTTAATTCTTTTTTAATGTTTATTTTTGAAAGAGAGAGAGAGAGATACAGAGTGTGAGTGGGGGAGGGGCAGAGAGAGAGAGAGGGAGACACAGAATCCGAAGCAGGCTCCAGGCTCCAAGCTCTGGGCTCTCAGCACAGAGCCCGATGCGGGGCTTGAACTCCCAAACCGCGAGATCACGACCCGAGTCAAAGTTGGACGCTTAACCGACTGAGCCACCCAGGCGCCCCTGGCAATTCTACTTCCGGGTGTTTATCCAAAGAAAATGAAAACGCTAATTTGAAAAGGTATGTGCAGCCTCATGTTCATTGCAGCATTATTTATGATAGCCAAGACGTAGAAGCAACCTAAGTGTCCATCAGTGAATGAATGGATAAAGATGTGGTGTGTATGCGTGTGTGTGTGTGTGTGTGTGTGTGTATACATATGTATGTGTGTGTGTATACATATGTGTGTGTGTATATATACATATATATGTGTGTGTATATATATACGTATATATACACATATATATACATACATATATACATGTATACATATAAATAATATTCCATTGCACATACGTATATATTCACATATACATATATATGTATATGCAATGGAATATTACATTATTTAACGTTTAAGAAGAATGAAACCCTTCCATTGGTGACAACATGGATGGACCTCGAGGAAATTAATGCTAAGTGAACTGAGTCAGAGAAAAACAGATATTGTACGATCTCTCCTACATGTGGAATCCAGAAAAAAATATATATATACAGCATATAGAAAACTAAGTTTGTAGAGAACAGATTGGTAGTTGCCAGAGGTAGGGGGAAGGGGGTTGGGAGAAATGAGTTGAACTGCTTGGGTTTTTTTAGTTAAATTGATACCAAAAAAAAAAAAAAAAAGCATCTAGTTTCATACTTGAGAGCTGCCTCCCCGCGATAGAATATAGAAGGAGTGAACAAAAGAAGGAAGAAGGAGATGTGGTTTCTATTATTTCAATAGATTAGAAAGAACAGAACAGTTGTATTCATTTTTTAGGTATAAATTTAAGATCTGGAGTGGTGGGATTGTGGGATTTTTTTTTAATTATTATTAGTGAGGCATTTTGGAGTCATCAATGCCATGCATAGTCTATTGCGGCTTTTTAAAGTGTGTCCCCTCATCAATGCTTATCAGTGCTTATCAATAGAAGTACAGTGTCCAAAGTGGGACAAATGCTGTTTTAGTTCCTGTCCCCGTCAAGCCGTGAGTCTAGTCCTGCCCACCATCCTACAAGAAGAGACTTTGACCAGTGAGGGGGTCCCGGAGGCTAGGACAGTGGGTCCACATAGAAACCAAATGGTAAGAGGGCGATTAGCTTGGTTGGTGAAGCACTGACTCAGGAGGGAACGTGACATTTGTCTCTGGACTGCCTAGTCCCCTTCTCCATGTGGTGCACGTCACCAGGCTTCCGCTCAGTGGGGAAAGCGATTTCCAATGCGTAGAGCGGCCCAACATTGGGGCAGGACACCCCAGAAAGCAGGGAACGCTCTGTCAGTTCCCGGATGTCTCCAGCCAGGGGCAGCTCGCAACACAGGAAGGTCCCGGAGGGCATCCTGTGGGCAGGAGGTGGCCTTAACTCCGGGCTGTGGGCTGGAGCGGGACACCCCTGCTGGCAGCTGTCATCTTAACTGAGGAGGAGCGGAAAATAGCCATGAATCGAAGCCCTGACTCCTGGGCTCCTGGGGAGAGGTGATTTGGGATGAAGAAGGAACAAAATTAGAAAGACGACTGCCTCTCTCCAGAGGATGCCGGCAGCCAGCTCCCAGCCGCTCACCTTCTTCCTCTTCCTCAGATGGGGGGGTCCCCACTGACCCCAAGTTCAAGGGCACCAGCCATCAGCAACAGGGAAACCCCTGCCAAAGAATCTGGGAAGATTGCCATTTTATTTGAAAATGCCTTCGCACCATTCCGTTATTTTGCTTTTCCTTACAGTTTTCAGTTAAGAATCTTTAGGAGGGGGGCGCCTGGGTGGCTCCGTCAGTTAAGCAGCAGACTTCGGCTCAGGTCATAATCTCGCGGTCTGTGGGTTCGAGCCCCGTGTCCTGCTCTTTTGCTAACAGCTCAGAGCCTGGAGCCTGCTTCAGATGCCGTGTCTCCTTCGCTCTCTGCCCCTCCCCCACTCATGCTCCGTCTCTCAAATAATAAACATTAAAGTTTTAAAAAAAGAATCTTTAGGAGGAAATTTGTAATCTCGTGAACTGCACATATGTAGCCCTCAGGGGACGTCACACAACTACGTCCCCATCCCTTTTGTGAAGATAAAGCCTACCCTTTTGTCAAGACTTTGATTTCCCACTAAGACATGCTTGCAATACATTTTTACAAATTTTGTATGCCATGAGCTAATTTCTGAGTTCTAAAATGTGAAGTATGGCATATACATACATACATACATGTGCATATATATATATATATATA